AAAGTGCCAGCTACACGGCCCCACTGAGAGCCCCTGACACCTCCCTCCTCCTTCCACTAAAGAGTCAAAGCTGGCACAAGACAGGAACCGGGCTGGCCCGGCCTGCAGGACGCGGGCAGCGCAGGGCCCCAGGGCGGCCCGGACGACGTGCATCAGCGCCCCCCGGGTGGTAGCGAGCAGTCAGACCCGCAGACAAGGACCACGGGCACAAAGCAGCGACGGGGAGAAACTGCTCAGAACCAGCTCAGCGTTTTTGTGCGAGACTAAGAATCAAGTGAAACCAAACCGTTTAGGCCAGCAGACGAGTTCCCGGCACTGGCCGGCCCAGTGCGCACGGGGTGGGCGTGGAGCCCCCGGGGTGCACTGGCCCGTGCCGGTGCTGGGTGGGTGTCGCCCTCGGCTGGGCGCACCAGGTGGGCTCGCCCGTCTGAACGGGAACGGCTGGAGTCTGTCACGTGGCGAGAGGCACGGGGACCCGGGGGAGGGACAGGGCGCGGACACACTGCCCGTGCAGCGGCCGCGCGCTCCGGTGATGGGCCCCATGTGCACGCGCCTGGTGTGCCCGCACCACCTCACCGCCGAGGTGCCACCGCGTCCCGCACCCTCAGCACAGCGGGAAAGGGGACCCACGCCCCAGCCTCTCAGACACGGCGCCGTGAGCCATTTTTCCTTTTGGGAGAAATGGGAACTACAAGCAGGCTGGCCCAGGACCCCGGCCAGAGACTCGGGCTCCCAGAGGCGGCCGCCTGCGCTGTTGCTGCCGGCCAGGTCATTTCTCACGTGACAACCGTGGCCGGCAGGAACTGATCCCACAGGATAGACGGCCGCCGCTCCCCGGGGCAGAGGACGCTGTCGCCCAGCGTCCTGACACTGCAGCCTCACGGCCGCGCCCACGGGCGAGCTCGCCCGCCAGCTCTTCACGACCCGCTCACGGCACCGCCTGCCCCGACCGTCACCCACGCCCACCTGGCCAGCAGCAGGACGGGGAACGCTCTCGCGGCCGGCTTCGGAAATTCTATCCTGATCCACAGCGACTCCTGGCGGCGCCCAGACAGCCCAGCGAACCGGTGGGAATTCACTCTGCCCCTCGGCAACACGAACGCCCTCTCCCGGCCCCCGCCGCCCTGTCGGCAAGGGAAAACCCGTGAGCGAAATCCGCGAGGGGGAAGGTGACACAAGCCGGCCAGCATGGCCTCGGTGCGGCCGAGGGGACGGGGGAGGCTGTCCCCACCAGGCCACTGTGGTCCCCAAACTCCACGGTCACGGGCGTCCTCAGCCGGTGTCTGCGGACGGGTCTCCTGCTGGAGCAGCGATGCAGCAAGAGGGTGACAACGACGCCGGCCTGCGGAGACAGGGCCCCTGAGAGCGGGCGACGCCACCGGCCTGGGGGACAGGGCCCCTGAGAGCGGGCGACATCACCGGCCTGGGGGACAGGGCCCCTCAGAGCGGGCGACGCCACCGGCCTGGGGGACAGGGC